AATTCATCGAATCGTTTCCCTCTAAAGGAAAACTAAAGTAGTACGCGTTGCCATCAATAAAAGTCTTTGAAAATTGGTAAAAGTTGCGCCCTATTGAATTCAGTGAGTCGTGTTGGAGTGCGTTCACCTTTCGTCTCGCCCCTCGCAGTTATATGGGTTGGAGCGACATATTGTTTCGCCTCGTTACATTAATAATACATCAACCATTATATCTTTTCGCTTTCAATTACGACTGATATTACTACAGGGTTCTGTTTCCTATGAATTTTATGGTGCTATAGTGATTTTGTTTGATAATACTTTGTATAATGTTTTTGATTGAACATAATTATATATGGTCGTTTCTATAAATAACAATTTATATTCAAGATCAACTAAGGCCTATTGGGAGAGGTCTAGGAGGAACCTAACGGGTTACCGAGGCTCCGGCTCGGAGTGCAGAAGAAGGAATGGGGTGGTTTTTATTCAGTAAGAGTCTGACACTAAGGGCGGGAGAAGTCATGCGATGATTTTCCCCTATAAAAAAAAATGGGGGAGGTCTATGTTCAGCAGTGGACGTCCTTTGGCTGATGATGATGAAGGCTCACGTGCTAGACAAAACATTGGATGATGTTCCCCTCTTAAAAAAAAAGAAAAAGCCAGAGTCCCAAATCTTTATTTGATCTATTTGTAGGTTTCTTCATTCTATGAAAATCTATTTAAATTGTATTTTCTATATTCACTTATTGTGTAACACTTTATAATATTTGGATAAAGTCAATGGTATGTGTACGTATGTCGGTTGAGTGACGTAAACTTATACTTACCACCTTTAAGAGAAGAAAGTCATCAACATTACATGACAAGACTAACATTAATCATTAGCTCTGTAGATTGTCTACGAAACGATTTTGAGTTTGAATATTTAGAGCTCATATCAAGACAAACCTCATCTTAAGTTTTCGACTCTAAAGTCAACATAAACCATACATTCAATAAAAACTTCTTCAGAAAACTCCTTCCATCTCTTTCATACTCTTTCGTCTTAGGTATAAAGGAGAGGGATAGAAGGTAACCTATTTTAGTTTTCGTTTCAAAATCAACCCCTCTGTACTTCTCCCTCCGCAGATCCTGAGTGAATAAGTCTTTTGTATATCCCCGGGAAATCTATTTGATTTACCGGGATCCGAAGACACTTCCCGGACTTTTGATCCTGGATTTATCTCTTGACGTTTGTATGGGAACTGACATACAATGTAGTTACATTGTGTGTACGTTTCTGTTTGTTTATTAGTACTTTACAAGAATATCTAATGAACTATACACACGTACTTATGTCATCATATTTATAAGGGTAGCTATACATCGAAAACCGAGTTCGAACTTTATAAAAAAATGAAAATCTTGTCTTAATTTCTTCGAAATTGTGACACTCGTGTTTGTATTGTTGCATAATAATGTAGCATGTGTCGTCTCTAAATCATTAATTTCTTTTTAACCCTATTCTTCTATACTAATATTATAAAGAGGAAAGATTTGTTTGTTTGTAATGAATAGGCTCCGAAACTACTGGACCGATTTCAAAAATTCTTTCACCTCTGGAAAGCTACATTATCCCCGAGTAACATAGGCTATATTATATTTTAAAAATAATTAGTCCCAAGGCCAAACTTTTGAATTATTAGGGATCGATCTACGAAAAGAATGTTTCACTCATGGCCAACAGTATGTTGGCCTATCACGTGTCGGAGCTCCTGAAAATCAATTTATTTTGCTGCCACAAAATAAAACTACTTCAAATATCGTTTACAGGGAAGCTCTGACTCACTAATACTAATGGCTTTTGTTTTTTTGTAGGTAATATGATATTTGTAAAAAAAAAATGGTTGCCTGTAAAGTCGTTTTTACGGGCGAAGATTTTACGTGACAACGTCTTTTTTACCGACTTCAAAAAAAGGAGGAGGTACTATGTTCGGCTGATTGTTTTTTTTTATTTTGGTTTGTTCGCGCAGTACTCCGCCATTTGTGAACCGATTTCCAAAATTCTTGTTTTGTTTGAAAGGGTATACTCCCGAGATGGTCCCATTTCCATGAGGTCAGGATCTGATGATGGGATCCTAGGTAAACCGAGGGGAACTTTCGAAAATTCTATGGGCAAGTAATGCGTCTATTATGTTTTTCAATTAGGATTTTGAAACACTACAATTTGATAAG